CGCACTTTAAGTTGTCTAATATTTGGACCACCCGAAATTGCTCGAATTTGGCTTATTGCATTTTTACGGCCTCTATATTTGTCTTCTGGCCAAAAAGATCGCAAGTGAAGGCAAATCTCTATGGCCAAGCCAATATCTTTTCCTTTTTTTTCTGCTTTTTCATTTTGGACAGCTAGCAATTTGAGCTTGACTTCTGGGACCCGGCCTGACTCGTGTAATGCCTGCTTTACAGATGTGGAGTTTATAGTTTAATGGCTTACATGGGCGAGTTGGCAATTTGGACCATAAATGGCCAAAGGCGCAAGTTGAGTCGCGGGCCGATTGGCACAATAATCGGATCGGATCGGATCCGGGGGGATTCAGTGAGCATCGATAGCCTCCGGCAGGAAGCTGATGATGAGATGGATGACCAAGTGTTTCAAAACAAGCACAAGCTCAACAAAACAAATATTTAGAAAAATGGGAAATGGGAACACGAAAGCGATGACAAAATTAACATTCATTCACGCTCAAGTAAATATTTACGCAATAAATTTGCATTTAATTGCATACCAGAGGCGACAGCCACAAAATCAAATCAAATCAAATTAGAAAACAATCCAACAAAACGGCCAGAGTCCAGAGAGTGTACTCCAAAAATTCCACCAAAAACCCAAATCCTGCAGCAGGAGCAGCAGAAACGAGTGACCAAAAACAATTTGTTCGTCGTATCGAAAATCTAATCAAATTATGCGCCAGAAATGTCAAAAAAGCGTGAAATGTTTGGCTTCGGGGCGAGCGAATTAACTCCTCTCCTCCACTCCACCCGTGTCTGGTGCACCTGTGATACCCCATTATCGCATCATCATCGTCGTTCCCATCCTTCCTTCTTCCCACTGGGAATCGCACAGCACCATCAAAATTGCACAAAATAAGAAGCGCTCAACAAATCATTTGCAAATTTTATGCAAAATACATGCAAAAGTGCTTGGCAAATATGGGCCTGATCAGTATCCGTATCTGTATCTGTATCTGTATCTCCCCCATCTCAATCTGATTTGGACCACGCACATTTTTGGAGTTCTCCTCTCGAAATGAACTAGAATTTGGTGTGCGTGGGGGTGACTGGAGGTGGGTGTTAAAACAACGAATGTGATGTGACTGCGGCTAAAATGTTTTTATGCAGTTCGCTTAATGTGTTTTTGGCCATAAACCAACTGACAACTGGTCAAAGCACAGCTAAAAATCCACGGATTTCGGCGTGAAAATTCTGGAAAATACGGAAGAGGGGCAGAGAGAGAGCGTCCAGAATGACAACGATAACAAGTGAAAATCCCCCAGGGAATGTTTCATCTCCACTCTCCCACCAATTAGGAATCATTCTCAAAAACTTTTGTCGCTGACCCCCCGCGTTTATTTGTTTTGCGGCCGCCTAATTGCATTTTCAACATTCGCCGGCACACTCCTTTATTTATATTGTAATTGAAATCACATTGGGGACACCATGGCTTTGGCCATGACGACTTTATTTGGGAGAGGCACTTCCTCTACTTCATGTTCTCGGTTCTTTTTTTCTTGGCAGGCTAGAAAATCAAGTCGAGTTGTTTTTTGTTCCAATCTATTTTCATGTTTTTAGACAGTCTGGGAAACTATTGCATTGAGTAATGAGTGTCATAAAAGAAGAAAACAAAAAAAAGAGTTCAACTTGAGCAATTATAAAAAGCTGTAAGACAAGTCATGTTCATTTGTCAGAGATTTGCATGGTTAACTATATACTAATTACTTTGCAACATACAAGCCAGCACATGGGAAAATAATAATAAAGTATAGAGTATATATATAATAATAAGTATAGAATAATGATAATATATAAAATATTTTTTATGATAATAAGGTTTAGAATATGTTCTTGACGTACTTAGAAATATTTCTTTGAAATGATTATTCTAAGACCATCGGATCTACTAAGAAATTTATAGAGCAGATTTTAAACTGTAGGTATCTTTTGATCTTTAATCTTTATAATCATTTACCGTAAACTATTGTAGAGTACTTATATATCAAGATGTTTTTATAAGTAGTACATATAGATGTTATTTTAAAATATATATTTGGTTCATGATTGATATTTTTTAATTGAATCATTTAACTTAAACCAAAATATATATTCAGAATAAATCAGTGGAGACTATTAGTCAAGAACTTGATCTGTTCAGCCTCTCCTCACACCCTAAAAGTGTAAAAGTTCTTGAGGCTTCGGCCTTGTAGTTATATAGGATTTAAAATGCTAAATACTTTTTTTTTAATACATGTCATACAAAATTATCCCCTTTTTGTGCTCATATCTAGTAAACGTTGTTTTTTTTACAACAATTCAAACCTACATATATTATTTAACATTTCTTTAAGCTTCGTAAATGTTATTTAGAAATATACCCAATATATTCTCTAATCACTTAAAGATATAAATTTCCTAAAATAAAGAATTTAAAAACCGTTTCCTAAAGTTAAAAGCTTTGCCCCTTAAGGTTATTGGCACTTCAATTTAAGTCTAAAGTCCATCGAGAAACCCAAACTTAAATAAAGGCCACTGAAAATTATTACCCCATATTGCGAGTGGTCACTGAGACCATTTTTCAAAGGATTTATACCCGAGAAAGCAGGAAGTTGGAAGGCATATCTAATAAGCCTTTAGCAGCTCCGGATGTGAGGACAGTATAAATCTGACACGTTTGTTGTCCCCAAAATTAATTCCGTACGAGCCATTTGGGAGCGAGACTCTCGACTGGAAATTGGCCACAGCAACACGGCCAGATGGCAGATGAGCCATGGCAAAACATTTTAGTGCCCCGCAGGCGGGATAGGATGCTGCATGGGCACACACACAGACAACTTATATTAATTAATGCAAAATTGCATTACGCATACGCACAGGTGTACCAAGCGAGCAAGAAACTCTGCTCTGTGCCTGTGTTGCTTGCCCAACACATAAAAAATAGTCGTAAATAAAAAGAACCAACTTTTTGGACAATATAGAAAGCAACAAGCTGGTAGAAAAACAACTAAACTGTGTCATAGAGTAATGGCTTAAGTTAGTGGTAGTAGAGGCTACCTTAAGAAAGGAACTTGAATATTATTATATTTATAAAATACAAATGACAATATCTTTAATAATATAATACTCTCCTTTCTATTGATAAAATTCTATTACAATATTCAGAATATATTCCATTCCTACCATGATTGCCCCATCCTACGCTATCTTTGTCCCAACAACTAGACCTTCCTTCGCATCCAAGTTGCCACTTAAGCTCTCCCATTCAAATTATCTGCCCCACAGCTCTGATTTGGTTTGTACTTTCGGACACTTATTGTGCGACTGTCGATGTCGTGGCCCGAACTCTGCAGAGTCTGTTTGAGACATGGTCTGGTCGACATGGCAACCGGCTACTTGCAACTAGCCACTTGCAACACATGCCGCCGCACAGGACACGAAAGCGATGCTAAAACCGAGACAAAACCAATCCCAAACCAGGCCAGGAATGGCGAAATTGAGCAAATCACACAATTACTTATGTTCCATGCCAGTGATTAGTGCCATGACAAAGGCTTATTCCAGAGACTAACCCAAAATTAATTCCAACGAAATTATAACTCATATTGATGAATGCTGTGGCTCCTCTCTAAAAACCAATCCTTTGACAATATTAATTTCAAATGGTTTCGGGCTTAGATTTTTGGGATATGTTTAGTGAAATTAATACCAAAGAAGAAATATATAGACTAAAATTTGAAGATAGAGTTATAAAGACAAAGGATTATAAAGCACTGATGAATTCTAGAAACAAACTTCTTTAAAAGAATCTATTCAAGAATAATGAAGCCAGTATTTGTGTATTTATGGAACAACATTGACTCTTAATTGGTAAAATAGATTCCGAAAGTATATTGTTAAGAAACTAACCAGAAACTTAACTATATGTTTATATGTTATATGTTAAATAATACTAAGCTGTAATTAAGTACAAGAAAGGACGTAAACTCCTATCTAACAATTTAAATTAATGTGCAAATGACTGTTTTCTTTTGTTAAGGAAACATAAATATCGCACTTTTAATCTGCTAATAAAATCATTTAAAGCCAAGATTCAATCTACTTTAATGCGAGTTCAATGACTTATAAAGAAACACCTGTGAGGTGTCATTAAAAATTTAATCTGTATGTCAGAAATCATTACTAATTTGGTTAGTTTTAATAAAATTGATTACAGATTAAATTTAACAGAGAAATATATCGTCAAGTTAAATAAACGTGTACGGTTTTATAATACAAGTCTTAACATTTGTTTTATAGATAAAATATTGAAGAAATACTTAATTTGAAATGGAAATGTCCAAGTTTCTCCAAAAAGTGACTCACTCTCTCTTAGCCAAGGTTCAGTGCTCATCACTACCGTCTTTCTTTGAGACCAACCCATGCAGGTATCTTAGTGAGCCTCTGCCGACGACTCTTGGCTATCTCGGCTCACTAAACACGGCCAACAGAGGCGGAGAGTGTGGCCAACAATGCACACAATAAACTAAAAAACAACAACAAACTGTGCTTGGCCATATGCAGGTGGGGGGAAAAAGATAATATGCAAGCTAAAAATTTGTTTGAAAATTTACCTAATGCTATTTTATAATAGTTTTTCTTTTAACGGTTATGACACCGCATACTTTGTTTCTGTGGTCAGGCTTCGTTGGGTCTCTGCTCCAAGACTTTTCTTATTAATTGCGATTGCATAATATTGACTTTATATTAAATGGGAACGTCATTAAATATAGAATAGTTATGTCAACATAAGCCTAAAACAATATAAATTTGTTGAACTGATTTTTAAGCTTTTTTTAACTATTGAAAGCTGGCACACTGAACATCCAGAACAAAATCGATTCAGACTATTCGCATATCCTAAATATTGAATTTAATTCCCTGCATTCACAAATGAAGTCCGCATAGTAAATAAAAAAAAGACGAATTCGGACTTGTTAATACAAAATTGCTATATAAATATGGGGGAAGTTTCAGATATAATCTGAATGGTACTAGTGAATTTCTGTGATAACTTCAATTTACATCTATCAGTGAAACCATCGCACGCTACGACTCCTTTTTCTCTCTGGCAGTGTGGTTCCTCCTCCTCCTGATATGACCCAGAAACCCTAGGGCGTTGCTGGCTGGGACTGCTCGGTGAATCGCAGCCAGGCACAGTTGCAGATCTCTCGCAAATTCCAGCGGGCATGCGACTCGGGCTCCAGTAGCACGGAGACCGTAGCCTTTGCCTGCATCGAAATCACCTCCTGCAGCTTACGGCGGAAGGCGTATTTGCGATTTTTCTGGGCCTCCAGCAACTTGTTCAGATTGCTGTCATCGAACGGCATCTTGGCATTGATCATGATGAACAGTATGACGCCCAGGGACCAAGCATCGGCCGACTTGGGGTCATAGGGTCGTCCGCAAACCACCTCCGGTGCGGCATAGGCCGCCGATCCGCAGTACGTCTCCGACCTCACCTCCCGACCGCCATCGTCGCGACAGAAGCGAGCGAACCCAAAGTCGGCCAGCTTGATGTTCAGACGCTTGGAGAGCAATATGTTCTCGCACTTGAGATCCCGATGGGCAATGTCAATGTTATGCAGATACTTCAAGCCTTGGACATCTGAGGAACCATATCTTGCACTGCTTCTCCTCAATGGGACCGTTCTTCTTGATGTGCGACAGCAGATCCCCATGCTCGGCATATCGCATAAAGATGAAGATCTTGGGCCCGCGCTGCAGGATACTGTGGATTTGTATGATATTCTCATGGTCGATCTTGGTGAGGATATCCAGTTCGCGCGGAAAGAACTTGTTCACAAAGTCCGCGGGCGCCTTGGCCTTGTCGATGATCTTGCAGGCCAAGTGTACACCGTGTCCGGCATCATCGGCATATCCGGCTGTGATAACCGTGGCGTACGATCCTTCACCGATCTTGTGACCGACATTATAGCCCCGCTGGGCCAATGCATCCACATCGGAGCTGCGCGTGATTAGCTGGCGATTTCCGGAGCTTAATTTGGACATGATGTGCAGAGTTTATGTGCGTGCGTGCGTGTAGTGTGTCCGACTGTAGGATGGTATGGTTCACATTAACGATCGATGATCGCTTTTCAAAAGACGGGAGGAGAATATTTACCTTTTACTTTTGCTGATTTCACAAACTATAATTTACAGATACTCTATTTCACTGAATCTACTTAATTTTGACAAGTCCTCAAAGTGGAAAATATACAAAATGCTTGTTGACAGGGAATTTTTTGATAAAAACAAGGAATACTGAGTTCAAGTTATTTTTAAATATATTCATTTACAATTTCTGTAAACGAAATGAATCCTATATAAAATATATTAGTTTTTAACAAATTATTGTTATTTTATGCTTTACAGCTTCCAGCCTGTTGGTCTTAAGTCATGCTGTCACTGGTTCTGGTCCTCAACCCCTGAAATTGTTAGAAAACCACGAGGCAGTCAAAACACCAGCCTCATCAGCGATTCAGATCTTAGCGCTTCAGAGCGGAGTCGTCGCCTGATACCCTATATGGCCTTCTATTTGCCAGCCCCCGAGTTGCCCATCAATCAGCAATATGCGAGCACCAAGCACTCATCGTCTGCTGGCGGAGCACAGCTCCAGGCACCGCCACCGGGGCCAGGAAGGATCCCAGTACCGGTGGCATATATGCCACAGCAGCAGAAGCATCACCCCATCACCTTGGTCCACCGCATCCGCCGCCTGTGACGACGCACTATCAGGCGGGAGCAGCCGAGGTGTACCACAGCATGGCCATTGGCAGTCACCACCAGCAGTCACATTCACATTCACATCCGCATTCGCATCCATATCCCCACTCACATCCTCCACCTGGCCAAGTCAAGGAGCAGCCTCTGACGGATTCAGGCGCCACTTTTATTGCCTACAAGCCATTGAACCCATCGCACAAGGCAAGTCAATAACCAATTTTAACTTTCCAAGGGGTAACTTTAGATGGCTTAACCTTTTACTTTTATAAAAAAAATATAGTTTGTGAAAAAAATATATATTATAAATATATACATTTTAATATGTAATATATTTATAAATATTTATTAAGGTAAAAAAAAAAAGCTTCTACATTTCATGGCTTACAGCTTGCTTTGCTTCATAAAAAAACAGATTTAATCAAGCGTTTTTCTAATAATATAATTATATTAGTAAACTATTAGCGAGGTATTAAACAAGTCAAGTGACCATCGCCTTTAGTCCCCTTTCTCTATTACAATACAGTTCATAGATCATAAATAAGCATAAGTAATCACGAAATTCATAATTTACACGCACACAGCACAAGACGGTGCAGCATTTTCCGCCATTGCCGCCACCGAAGGAGCAAGTGCAGCAGCAACCACAACAACAGCAGCAGCAGCAGCACCACCACCACCATCACCTCCTTCTCCAACACCAACAGCATCACCAACAACAACAACAACAACACCAACAACCACAACAATTTGAGATACTATCACCAGGTTTGGTGGCTCCATCCCAGTTGCAGCGTCAACGTGGCAAACAATCAAAATCAATTTAACGCCATTTACAGCAAAGAACACATTGCCGGGACAGTTTATACCCATTATTTATACGCCAGTGAGCAGCAAGCCCGGCTCCGCCAGTCCCATCAATTACAATAATATCAATAATGGCAACCTAAAGCAACCAGAAATTGTCTACCAAGCAGCAGTGCCGCATAAAACTTCCCATCAAACACAAATCGTTGGAGTTCTTGCCTCAGCCGAGCAGCAGCAGCATCAGCAGTCACCATCATCATCCGGATCTTCCGAGGAGGAGAAGAGTGTGGAAGCGGAGGAGGAGGTGCAGCAGCAGCAGGAGGATCATAGAGCCCCCGAAGAGCCAGTGGAGGTGGAGGAGCAGCAACAGCAGCAACCAACTCCAAGGTAAGATTTATTATAACAACACTTGTAATGCGAAAGCTCAAATGTAAGTCAAGCTCTGATCTTATGAGTCCATACTCCTCGTCATCAACTTGCCAGGTATTTCTCACAGCCACGCCCACAAATATAGCGTGAGGTGCTCCACTGGCAGTTGCAATATTGCATGTAGTGTGTAGAGTAATTAAAAGTGTTGCTACCATTGTCAGCTTCATAACCGATTTATGTCATCGACACAACAACGACTTGAACCAAAGCATCCAAAGCGAATGTCTTACATATTCATAATAGAATTTGTTTCATTATTAATTTGAAAATAACAATGTTCCAAGAACTTATAAAGAGCAATTCAGTTCAAATTAAAGCTTGAGTATGTGGAAAATTTGTCTTTGTCATGTTGACATTGTTATTAAAAGCCTAGACCCTGTATAATAAAATAAAATATTATATTCTTCAACTAATAAATGTTTCCTAGCTCATAGTTTATGTGAATAGTTCCCATTTTTTGATACCACATAAAAGAAAATGACATAGTTAACCAATTCGAAATGCATTTAAAAGATACTCTACATATTGAACTTGCGAAACACTCGATACGCACGCAATGCAGAAACGTTAAATAATTGCATTGAAGTTAATCTGGAATTGAGACTGGGTCTGAGTTGCATGCACAACAGATGCCCTTGGGCAGAAAAATCAATTGCATTAAATGCACTGGACCCAATCCACAATCTGCTGTCTCCTTCTTCATCTGCGGCTGCAACTGCTCTTCTCCCAAGCTCACAATCTGGGCCTTCCTCCTTCGTCACCATCTTTGCTGCTGCCGCCGACGACGACTGTGGTGACGTAAGATCCATGACGACATCGAATTGCAACTCGAATTGCAGTTCGATGTACAACAGGAGACACTGCCAGTGGGCATAAAGTGGGCAGAGATGCAACCTGGCCAATGTCTCATGTACATAAGTACCACTGCCCCGTATGTTCTTGTAGTAATTGTCAAATTGCAAATTCATGTCATAAATAGCCAACGGGGTCCAGGTCATACAATCATAGGAAAAGAGAAGGGTAGGAAATGCCGCCATTCAAGGAACATTTTTACATCCACCCTGATGTCAGCTGTGATGAAACACACTCTTGTTTTCACACTTGTTTCGATTTAAGTGGTTAAATTAAATAACCACTAAGAAGAGGTACTGATATTTTGGTAGTTTCCTGGGTTTAATTAACTAGAAAGTCCCTTCCAAACTTATAATAAACATTTTAAATAGTAAATCAAAACTACAAACATACATAAACTAAACTCTCATCTCATTTTTGCTTACAATCGAATCCATAACTGCTTTGCATGATGATGACCCACCCACAGCATTGGCTACGCTTCCGTGTCGGTACCCGATACAAGTTCAGTTACCGCCGCCACCACATCTAGCAAAACCGCATTGATAGTACATCAAAAATCACCGTCATTTGGCGGGCATGTGAGTAAATACGAGAGTTACTTCAACATGGCCCCGCCCACACATTCGCAGCATCCGCACCTGACGCCCCAGGAGAAATACGTGCTTTACTTGCAACAGCGCATGAAACACCAAAAGCAACAGCAACAGCAGCAGCAGCACAAGAATTACGACTTTCCACATCCGGTGGTGGTGCCAGCACAAAGCAGTAATACACTGACCGGTAGCCACCATCCTGCCAACACCCATCTGCATCCCCATCAGCAGCAAACACACCATCATCCCCAGACACAGATCCATCATCCAAACAAGAACTACGACGATGCCCTGTATGTGCGGCCGGATGCAACTGCTGGCCAGCAGGTGCTGCACATTCCGTTGCGCGCCCTCATGGCCCACGTCCAAGAGCAAACGCATTCGGAGTCGCAATATGCCAAGGATGAGGCGCTCGGGTAAGCCATTTATTACAGGTGAAGCGACAGGATAACCGGGGGAAGTGATCTGTTTGAGATCATGACAACAGTTTGCTTACTCATTTCTATCAATGCTTAAGCTTAAAGAAAGCTAAGGCCTAACAGAATTACCATTTTAAGATCTCATATACTAAAACTAATACCTCTTCAGCTCACCAGCACCGGCGCAATATATTGATTATCTGATTGACGGCCCCCGTCAATCGTTGGATGATGAGCAGCATCAGCAGCAACACGAGCGTCCTTTGGTCCATCATCCCTCGCCCCAGCATGCTTACATTTTGGTGACCACAACAGCTCCTCATATTGAACACCAAGCGGCGCCACAGCTTCACCCGGAGATATCCTCCACCCCAAGGCCTCAAATTTTGTATAAGCAACAGCCTACACTTCGATTACAACCCGTGCATACCTACAAGGCCACTCGACGTCCCATTTATGTGACCGCACCCCCTCAAGCCGGTCCTCCCACGCCTAGTCACACGGTGGAGATTACCCCAAAGTATGTTTACGTTTCAGGAAAGCCTCCAAGTGGCCCAGAGCGAGAACCTTCTACGGTGACACCTATAAACTGAAGCCCGTTTTCAAATACGCTCACGAGCGTCCACCATTAACGCCCGCATATGTGACCGGTCATGAAGATGATCAGTTGCCTGATATTCGTACCTCATCGCTGGCCGAGATCTTGCACAAGCTTCAAGCGAGCAATCATCTCCCACAGACTCTGACACCCGACAATATTGACAATTCCATTAAGACCCTGATAAGAATATTGCAAAACCTGAAGCAAACCCAAACGATTGTGGCAAATCCACCGCAGCATCACGAACATGAGGAGCACAAACACAATTCCCAGGACTACGACTACAACGGCGAAGATGATCATCATACAACGTCCACGGGATCCGAGGAGGAAACAGTTTCCAAACTAAAAGGACCAAGTGGGTATATATTCTTTACAACGTAATACATTATTTAATACTTTCGAATTACTTTAATAGATAAGCATCCTGGACCAAGTACGGGTAGGCCTGGAATCGATTATCCCAACTATGCAGAGATCCCCAAGACAAGTTTCGAATGCACTAAGCAACGTTACAAGGGATTCTTTGGGGATCCAGATACAAATTGTCAAGTCTGGCATTATTGTGATCTCAATGGTGGCAAGGCATCGTTCCTGTGCCCCAATGGAACCATATTCAGTCAGGTAGGAAGACTTGAAGAACTTAAAATAAGTTTAATTTTCAGAGATGAAAATATTCTAAATTGTAATCTTAACTCTAATTTTAATCTTTATCATTCAGATTGCTCTGACTTGTGACTGGTGGTTCAACGTGAAATGTTCCACTACTTCCCAACTTTATGTGCTAAATGAGCGACTCTACAAATACATTCTACCCTTCAATCCCAAGTTTCCCGAGGACTACAATGGACCCATTGTAGACAAGTAAGATTATAAAACATCAACATATTAATTCATTTAAATAACCCACTTATTAATCCTACGCAGATACCTTGCCATGAAGTTTCAGGAAATGGAGGAGAAAATGCGGCAGGAGAAGCAACGCAAGGCTGCTCAGCAGGCGGAGAAGCCAGTCGTGGTCTCATCATCCACTCCATCCCTGCCCAAAAACCACAAGCCAGAACCCAAGCATGTGGGCAGTGGGATTAATGCCCAGGTCTATGAGCAAAGCTCGGAGCGAAATCTATTAATTGACGACGAGATTGATGACATTTCGGAACGTGGCAGCTACGACACATTCGATCAATCCCAACCAACCACCATAATGGCTCCTACAAGCACCCAGGATGATACCCAATCCTATGTCCTCAAGCCAATTGTGGTGTCATCTACGCCACAACCGCTACCACAAATTGATTTCGAAGTGGAACCCACAGCACCGGAAAGCAGCGAAGAGGAGGATAAGCTGCAGAGCTTAAGAGAAACAAAAGAGGCCGATAAGAAAATAGGGCGAGAGACGACGAAAGTAAGCGTAGAAAAGCTCGAGGTTATCGAGATTAAGACCGATGGAAATACTGGACAATTGATGCCCATCAAACAAAGCAGCAGCAGCAGCAGCAGCAATGAGCAACAATGAAAGGGAAATCTCCAAGATAGAAAGGAATGAAGGATGAGCTTGCCATATTTGTAATGAGAAATTCGCCCCTAAATTATTCTTTAGCGAGCAAGTACTGTAAATAGCTAGCCGTAAATGCAATTGTATACATATACATACCTATAGCTATAGTTCAAATAAATAAATCTGACTAGTAAGTAAAATAAACCCCAACTGGGACTCACCTCCTGGCCATTGTGGATGTTCATCAGAGCTGAATTTAAGGACTGCAAGGTATTTGGTATTTCAGAAACCAGACGTTGATTCTAGACAAAAACGTAAATTAATTAAGTAATGGTAATTCTTGAAGGGAACTAAAAGTAAACAACAATTCCACTCACCATCTCGGACAGCGGTAAAGTTCTATGGTTTCTATGGTATATATAAATGCATTTAGAGCAATTGATGCGACGACAGTCATTACAGTATATAATCATGGGCAGGAGATGCGTGGGACACACACCCTGAAAGGGCATGCGGAACACTTGGTTGCCCACACGAAATCCATTCGGATGCCCGCCGTCAATCTTCTGGAAGATGTGCGATTTTAGCACGCGACTGTGCTTATGAACCGCATTGAAGCAGCCACGGCAATAGAAGGCATTGCAGTGCAAACACTCGCCCCTGGCATCAGAAATGCTGCATTCACTGCACATGGTGGCCCGGATGATCATATCGTCGGTCAAACTAAGGCTCAGCGATTCGTTAACCGGCTTCTTGTCCAAGTTACATATAAAGCTGCAGACCTCTCCCAGCACATGGTAGTTGATTTCGAAGAAGTCGCTCACTCGCAACCCGGGCTTGATGTCCGGATTAGCTAGCTTCCGGCATACAGCACATGTCAATTGTTGGATATCCTTCCACAAACAGTTCTCGCACATAGAATGGCCACATGGCAAAAGGAAGGGACGATTTTTCTCTGGTGAATTTTTAGAATCAGTCAATAAGTAATACATATTATTTGAGTATAGAATTTAACGTTTGTATTTGTAGATTCTTTATAACTTCTTATTACTTTATTTATTGTTTTTTAAGCAATTACCTTTATTATTTTTACTATTATTAAAGGTGCATTATAACACTTCAATTAATACAAAAAAATTATTATTATTTATATACCAAATATACCACATTTCTTAATTATTTACATAAACTTTGAATTTTGTAAAAAAGCCATTTTTAGCGCAAAAGCTTTCATCACATTCTGTACGCATACTTCTTTTCATAACTGTACATAGTTGTGTGTATGTATGTATGAACTTCGTCAATGTTTAGAAGATTTTCTCAAAGAGAACACGAAAAAGCCAATGGTAGTAACAAGAACCGTTATGTATGCAAAGCAGAGATGCGCATTATTTCTCGGAGAGTAAGTGTTAAAATGTTATAATATCAAATGCTAATGTAACCATTATTGTAGTTAATGATTATATCTGGTTATTCACATTATTTGTGCAATATTTTGTTAGCTAACTGTTATTAACTTTGATTTTTTTAAGGCGTCCCACACCTAGCACACAGCGCCAACTCACACAAGCATACATATTCACTCGCAATATGAATGCACAAAAAAGGACGCTTGCGCCCGAAGTCTCGAATGTTTAAAGACAAAACAAACACTAAATAAAAACTCTACAATTGCTACATTTTGTTAATAAATAGAATAAAAGTGTCTACTTACGCTCTGCCTTGGAGTAAGTGTAGTTTGTGGAGCATTTTGGGCAGTGCAGTAGATTCTTCAAATTGGACGCCACAAATGTGCGATCGAAATGCTTAACACTGTGGTCGTCCGCCATTATTTCGATCGAATGCGAACTTGGCCAATCCAAAGCTTATTTCTTTACTTTTTGTTTAATAATTTGCGGGAGTCAGCAGGGCTGGGAAAAAACGATCACTGGGACTATCGAGTAGTGCTGGCACATCGGTGCCCTATCGATGCTATCGATGTTTGGATAGTGATTTTAAAACATCGATTTTTATTGCACTATCGATGTTTTCAACATTTTTTTGTAATTTACATCTTAACGCGTAGAAAACCATTTTACACGTGTGTGCATATGGGGTGGAATTCTCATATATGGGGTAAAATTCTTATGTAGGAAGTAAAATTCATTAACAGATCTGCTCTTATCCAGAGAGGAGAGTGTAAGTTCATAAATATCTCTCTCTTTGGCTGTCAAACTGAGCGTAAATTATCAAAATTCTCAATAATATTAGGTAAAATAAACGATTTACTTGTTAGTAATTTTTTCCCGATATGTATACTCCAATATACTTTTAAAATAACTTTCTATGGTGCTTTTTCATCCTTTAATATATATTGGTATTCTGTGTGCTAAGGTTTGCGTATAAAACTAATTAAAAAATTATTTAAGAAAGCACACATAATTTTATTTAATTTATAAAATAATCAAATAATTAAATTAAAATCTTCGTTCACATATGGCTTTTAATCGATAAGCTTTCGCACTGCCAAACAAGCAGCGTCTACTTGATATGAAACTTACCGGTGTTGCCACTTTGATCGCAGCTGTGTTCAGCCCCTACAAGGGTTTTAAAAATTTAAATACGCGTTAATTGCAGCAGATTTGGGGGTTTTCCAAAGTTAAATGTTATTTCCTAAGGGTTTGTATTACTATAATATAGTGAGGATCAGTAACCAAGCCTGGAGTTTCAGGTTCTTTCCTCTATGATGAATTTTCTTAATCGATTTAGACTGCCAAGTGAAGGAAGTTGTATAAGTTGGTGGTAATAATACTTACTTTCCAAATTCAAATAAAAGTTGCAATATAATTTATCCAATCTCACAATACATTTATTACAACACATACCATACAATTTAAACCCTAAACCGATTTCTGGAATATGTTTCGATTGAAACCAAAAAAATTAGCCAAACATGGAATCCATAATGGTATTCTGGCGCTGGCGGCGATTGGACTCGTCCTGTTTGTACCTGCGCAGCTCCTCGTAGACCTCATCATCAGTTTCCAATTCAAATCGACACAAAGGACACGAATTGGTCTGAAATAAAGATACATATAACCATAGTTAATAAAGTAAATCGTTAAAATAATCATTTGCTTAACGGTTCCCATTTCCTTGGTATTAATTTCCCAAATACTTACTTTCTTTAACCAAAGCAGGATACATTCCTCATGAAACTCATGCTTGCAGGGCAAAATCTTGTACTTCTCGCCCACGGTGGCTGGCTCCTTGCACACGGAGCACTCCAGGTCACCACCCTCCTCCGACTCCAGGATCACATGGACCGGAAGCTCTTCAATCGCTCGCCTGGATGCTTCCGGCACCTCGATATCCACATCAATGCCGTGCATAACGGCCAGGACCTGAAGACGCTTGTAGTTTCGATCAAAGTCATTGGCACCCTCCGGTCCAGTGGGTTCGTGTCCCAATTCCTCGAAATAGTCCGACATGTCGCTGTAAATGTCGCAATAAAGAGCAAAGTTCATAACTTTTGACAGTAATATCCATAGATCCTTGATGTGTTCACAAAAATTCGGATAGAAATTATCTTATTGTTGGTGCCTGAAACTGCTGCAAATCAAACTTAAATACAAAACCGACCCAGTTATTTTAGGAGCCAAACGTGATTTTTATTTCAAATTCGAGTTTCTCGTATACAATTGATAACAAATCAATCTGAGCTAAGGACTCCCATAATACATTTAACTTTATAGATTCAGTGTTATGGCTAAGTATCTAAGAGGTCTTTTTTTGCATTTAAAACGTTTGCAAGTAGTGTTATTATTTCTTGTTTCGTTCTCTAAGACTAGAAATACTAGTTCTAGTTGCAGTTAAAAAGTCTAAAATTACAGGCATATACTGGCTTTCTCGTTTAAGTGAGCTTAGTTAGAGGCAAATAGTCCACACAGTTGGGCTTGTCACTGATCTACCCAGGAGTAGCTTACTATATCCTTTAATCATAATGTTTTAGAGCTTTCAAGCTATGAGGATAATTTCTTCATTAATTTCTAGAGTACATGTTGAGCTTCATAAAGATGAAAAGTAGCAGAAAATTTGTTTTTCAGTTTTGTAACTACTATTTTATGGTTGAAAGCCCCAACACCTTCTAAACTATAAAACTTAATAATTATTTAAACAATCAATAAATAATAATTGTTATTTCTAATTAAAAAACTTATTTTCCCAACCAATTACCATTTCCAACTTAAAGAGGAGCCAATAAAAACACAAAATGTTTATTCCTTTTTTCGCTTCTTTTTTTTGTGGTGTTTCTTCTTTACTAATATGCTTTTAAATAATATTCATTGTTTTTTAAAGTAATTGATTTACGATTTACTTCAAGGTAGTTGTTACATAGCTTGAATTATAGTTTCTGCATTCTTTCTTCTTTTTCTCTGCCCTCACTTATAAAGTTGACATCCTTTGCGATCTTAACCAAAGATAGAGCAGAAAGGTAAAATTTAATATGGTAAAATTTATAAAATAATAAAAGTAAAACAAAAACAAGACTTAGAAATTACTAGTTTACGATTGCTAGAGAATAAATTAAAGGCGCCTGGCGGGGATACATAGGTGCGATTGGTAGTAAATGATGTATTATATAGAGGCAGGACTACATCAGGATCTATCTACTGATTTCATTATATATATTTTGGGTGTATATGTACAGGAGCTACTTAAAGACAAACGAAAACGAATAAGTACACGATTCTTTTAATTACTTTAGCTACTTTAGTGGGAGGGCGAGGAGGAAAAGGGGGGCGTTTTGCCACATGGACTAAATTACAATGCGCTTTTAGGATTTTTCTTTTTTAGAAAGTAAGGCAATAATATATATATATAAAACTTTGGGTCGATTTTCAGTGGTTGAAACATAACATTAGGAACAGAAAGTAGCCAATAAGGTTTACATCCAAATGGAACAAATTAAAACTTAGACCTTATTTGTTTCATTCAAAGAATCTTGCAGTAAATAAAAAAGAATTTCAAATTACTTATCCAACCATTCTAATTAAATTAGAAATATGGTTTACACTTTAAAAGAGGAAAGCAAATATATATATATTAAATATATAATAGCTAAGATTAAACCAAAAAGTTTCTTTTCCGCTCCTAAACAAAATCGTTGACAACCGGAAATCGACGCATCCTTATAAATCCATAACATATACACATGTGTTTATGGAGTTTTCTCTCTCTCTATATATATATATATAGTAAACGATCGGGGCTCGCGTTAAGATCTATCACTAGCATACATAGTTAGTTCTAGAGTCTAGTGCTAAAAGCAGCAGCAGTTGGGAGAATCCAGATCCCGCCGAACCCTCCTGGCCTGGCCTTACGTATCATCATCAGACTGGCTTGTTTATATTCTTTGTTGTTTTCCTCTTCTATCAGAGATGGTGGTGCAGGGTGAAGGGAGTTGTGAGGGGTTTGTTGCTGTTGTGATGGATTGGGTTTGGCCTTCATCCGTGATCCTTGGCTCCATTAACCACGGCTAATATTTAATCACTATTAGTCTGTGATGGAGATTTGCGCATAGCCCACCAATGATCGTTCGTCGGGGACTTCGCCCGGCTGCACGCCGGAACTTAATTGGAAAGTAATCGTTTTCATCGTGGCACTGGCGGCTATCAGTTGATCCAGATGCTGGGCCATTGGCTGGGTATCCAGTGCATCCACCAGGCCGGCATCTACCAGCTCTGTGGCTATACCCTCGGCAGTATCCTTGCCCACCACAAACTCGAACCGAATGTCGTGGAGTTCGCGTCGCAAGTTGCGCATGCGCAGGACAAGATTGACGGGTGGCGCCTCACCGGCCGACTCACTGGGCATTGGTAATTGGGCCAGGCCAGCTGTCACCTCTTGGGTGGCTGGAGCAGCAGCACCAGCAGCACCTACTCCCGGGGCACCTGGTGTCATTGTGGCGGATGAAACGCTATGCGTTATCTCTGGCGATGGTTCTTCCCTATCGCTGTCCGAGGAATCAGCTCTCTCCAACCGATTGATGGGTCTGTCCTCTGAATCAGAGTCCGAAGATGGCTGTTTCCTGCCTCCACCCGAGCCGGAACCTGAGCCAGCGGAGCCTCCATTATCCTCCTCTTCGCTGGACCAAACCCATTCGCCAGTCACAGTGCGATGAAGGCGACCCGAAGCACCGGGCTGTCTTTTCGCCGCCTTGTGCACCCTGGTCTCCATGCTGGGTCCGGACTGCAGCAGCGTCTGGGTGAGATATTGCGATCCTTGGCCTTCTTGAAGAAGGCATGCTTCAGCAGTTCACTGGCCGTTGGCCTCTTCGATGGCTCCTTCTGCAAACACTCGACGATCATCTTCCGGAATGTCTTGCCATAGGCCTTATACTGGTCTTTATCGTCCGCACCCGTGTCCAAAGTGGGCGGGTCGTTTTGCAGGGTCAGCATTAGCACCTTCATGGGGGGATACTTGTGATAGGGTGCCGTACCGGTGGCCATTTCAATAGCCGTGATTCCAAAGGACCAAATGTCTGCCTTGAAGTCATAGCCATGATCCTGCTCCATCACCTCGGGCGCCATCCAACAGGGTGTGCCCACAAAGGTGTGACGCACCTTTTGCCTGGATAGATCCCGGCCAGTGGCCAGCCAAGCGCTGACACCAAAATCAGCGATTTGAATGGTTCCATCATCACCAATCAAAATATTTCCGGCCTTTATGTCCCGATGGATTTGTCCGTTCGAGTGGAAGTACTCAAGTCCCTTTAGCACCTCCTTGAGAACCGTGGCAATGGTGGCCTCATCGAAGACCCCCTGTTTACAATTGGACGTTCGCATCTTGTGCTTAATGATGTCCAATAGGGAGCCACCCTCGAGGAGTCGCAGAACCAGCCAGAGTTCCTCCCTCACCACAAACGAGGTGTGATAGGTCACAACATTCTCGTGATTACACGAGACATTGCCTGGATCTCCTTGAGCAGCTCGTCCATCGATGTGTTCCACTTTTCCAGATTGATGCGCTTAATGGCGCACTTCTCATTCCGGGGAATACAGTAGGCACCATGGACAACGGCTGTGGCTCCTACACCAATCACATCTCTCAGCTCGTAATCATCTTTGGAGTTGGGCCACGGCTGTTTCTCGGGCACTGCCGCAGCTCCCGGCAAGGTAGCTGCTCCGGCAACATTATTGCTGGATAGATTGGCAGGTATGGAGGTCATGCTCCTGCTTCCAGTTCCGTTTCCAGCGGTGGTGGTGTTGTTGTTGTTGGTGGTGTGTGGCGGCGGGGTACCTGGTCGTCGTCGGTTATTGATTGACGGCTGACTCTGTGATCTCTGGGTATTTCGCGGTCTCGGTTGCTTGGATATGGGCGGTATTATTCTTTGGGGTTCCTCCTGCTTTATCGGATGAAACTCCTCGTCCTGCTGTCGGTAAATGGATGGATATCCCTCGATCTGTCTTTGCTGTTCCTGCTCCTTTTGTTGGACTTTATAGCTGCCCGAGTTGTAACTTTCTCGTGGTTCTGATGCCTTATTGGTTTTTGGATTCTGCTGGTGATCTTCCTTCTTGGCAAAGCAACCAAAGATTCCTGATGTATCTTTGGGATCTCTTTCGTTGGATTCTTTGCTTTGGCTGTTGCCTTTGTTGTTGTTGTTGTTGGAGATGTGTGTCACCTCTGCAAGTGGAAAAAAATCAGAACATGGATATAAAGTAGGGGCCTTTCCTTGAATAATCTTTAACAAAGCAACTGAACTACAGGGAAATGAGAAAATTGGATTCAGAGCATAAAATGGAAACATGGGAAATCTAGCATTGTGGAAAATCGAGGAAAATGGAGGAAACCAGGTATAAAAACGATTTGAAGTTGAAGAAAGCCAAGAAAGTATAGAATTCGAAACATCAACAAGTTTGAATTAAAATGTAGTATTTGTTAGAATCTTAAAATCCTATTACAACCAAATTATGTATTGTTATTTTAAGTTTCTGTGCGATTAATGTGATTAATTTTAAAATGTAATTTATATAAATAAAATAAAATATTTATAAAACTTATATCCATTTCTTCATGATAAATCTTTAAATCTCTAATTTGCTGATTACAAACAAAATCTCGGCGGAAAATATTTGGGAGTATATCAAAAACCCCAAAACAGATTTCCATTTTGTTATTGTTGTCGGGGGAATTACCCTCACACGTTTCGGCATAAAAAGCAAACAAACAGTTTAACGCTCGACACATGTCGTCTACTAGGAATTCATTGATTCCCCTGCTTATCCTCCCCGCTCAACCACCCTCAATATGTTAAATTTTTCCACGTTTCTGCTGATAAGCTTTTTTGTTTTATGAATAAAATCTGCCTCGACCGCCACTGTATGGGGATCGTTCAACTAATTCCATCCACGACTGTAGGTGTGCCTCTTTAAGTCTCTTTCCCTCTCTCTCTTTCTTTTGTGTTGATCTCTGGTTCTCTTAGCTCCATGCAGCATAAAAAAAAGTTCAATCGCATGGAATGAATGACAGAAAGAGAGGCGGCAGAGTGTGCGAGCGGGACCAATGACCGCATTGTGCTATTTATAGAAACAAAAAATAACAACAAAAAACACAACAGCAAAGATAATGTGTGTGGAAATTGTAATTAAGTTTTCAGCGCTAAAATGTATGCGCTTACTTTGTTTCACTGTCTTCTTAATTGTTTTTATGTAATCAGAATGGCGATAAGCTGCTTGCAGGTTCGATAACTGCGACAGGAGCGATAAAGAAATTCGCTTCCAGCTATCGGCGTGTCATGTGGCATTTAATTAAACTCACTAACTTTGGCCAACTAACATTTTAAGCTAACAACAACTGCCTGGCGAATTTCGCAATTTAACACTTAGGCCAGCTAATAAAGAGAAGAAATAAAAAAACCAATGTTTACAAAACAAACAAAATGCTAAGCAAGACAGAGATAGAAAATTGCTTCTTGGCAACACAAAAAAGCAAAGACAGAAAGCTAAATAAAGAAATGGAAAAAGAAAACAAAGAGAAAACATTTAAATATAAATTTTAAATTCAAAGCAGAAAGTTTATTTCATTCTATCTATTCAATATGAATAAATGTGTAAGCAAAAAAAAATATTATCAACTGCAAACTAAACCACCAAAAAATGTAAAAAAATTAAGTTAATTTAAGCTAATGACAAACTTTTTATATTATTTTTGTCACTAAATTTCCCAATAAATCGATACCAAGAGAGAGGGGCGAAAGAGCGAAAGAGAACTAGCGCGAGAGTCACACGATCATGTGCAACTGATAAGAATTGTCACACGACTTCGTTTCATCACACTCACACGCACACACACTCACTATTGGTTCAATAAATTTTCATTTGTGCTTTATTGATTTCACGCCAAAAGAAATCAAAACAATTTACGCAAAAAGATGAAGAATTATTAATTACACGTTATTGTTGTGGTTTCAGCCTTTCCTTTTTCTTCCTTCTCCTCTGCTACTCCACGCACGCGCGCGTTTCCCTTGTACTTCTTTTTTCTGTTTCTTATACAGCTGCTGTTTCTGTTCCCGTTTTTGTTTCGTTCCGATCGCGGCGAACTTTCGTCTGCAAAGCGTTCGATTCAAAAGCCGCGCAACAAATGAGAATGAGCGCACAAAACGCAGAACAACAACCGCAAAACCAAAAGCCAAGGCAGCGCAGCGTTGCCAGTTTAGCTTATTTAAGGCTAGATCTACCAATTATGATAGATGACAGCTTATAGCTATGCATTTCTTTTAAAGTTGTCAGCATACTATTTCTAGTAATAAATACATATATTTCATATATTTCAGTAGACGGTACGAAAACATAAATTCATTTTATTTAATTAATATTAAAATTACTTTTAAATAATGTATCCCGTATCGAATAATTTTTTAAAGCTTATTTTAGCTTAGAACATAGCTAATATATGCAGTCAACACTGGCGCAGCCGACGGCGACGCGTAACAAGTGCGCCAACGGTTGATGGCAAATAACAAAAAAAAGAGTGAAGAACACAGAAACAGAAAACAAGAACAACATCGAGCCTTTGCTAGAAATATACAAAAATAAATGTATTGAGCAAATAACAACAACAAAAACGTCTCCGAAGGGGTGTTGGGAAGAATTGAATTGGTGGCGCCGCACTATGGGCTGTGTTGCTTGCCCAACCTATGTGGCATTAATTAAAAACTTTAAAACGAGGAAGATCCACTTTTTTCTTGAAATTCGACTTGTATGTATACAGATGTACTATATCATAAATAAAAATTGCAATACCCAATAGCGTATTTATTTGTTAAAGTGTTCTATACGTAAAACGTTTAAAGTTAAATTTCAGAGAAAACGCTAAAAAGTGGGTTTTTAGATGAAAAAATCACCGTTTCTCCCATAGTGCGCCGGTTCGACGTTGCACGAAGAAAACGACAATAAGAGAGAGGGACAGATAGTAAGAGAAGTCAAAGAGAGAGCGCAAAAAAGAGCGGGTTAAGCTGTCGCACAGTAGGTGTCGTGGATCAATGCCAGGCTTTTTAAAAGCTAATTATACCCAATTCACCTCTTTTAAAGTAACTTTAATATATTATGTTTATCTGCATTGTTTAAAATATTTTTGATTTAAATATTTGATCTTTCCAAAATAAACTTCACTTCCGTGTTTCATAATTTGATAAATTTATAAATAAGTTATTAAAGAACAATAAACTAAACTAAACAATAAACTAATAAAATAAAAATATAAAAAACCATTTATTCAAATTACATTTCAGAAACTTGGACTTTCTCTCCCATTAACAATTTCACCATTTGTATGGTTTTTTTTTGTTGTTGTTTGCCTCCACGTATTGCGCCGTCCTGTGTACTCGGATTTTATCAGCTCTGACGCGCACGATAAGTTAAAAACGTTTCCAGCGGCAATAATAACAACAAACGAAAACAATTAGCAACAATAAAGACCCAAAGTCCCAAAAAAAGTAGAGCATAGATACAACTGACGTATGTGTGCATGTATTTTCCATACCGCACCCAGATACAAAATGGGATTCCAGTATCTCTCACTCTTTCTCCGCTTCTCTCATATTTCTACTTGACTATCTCCGGGGGTTAGATAACTGTGTCAACATAATGGAAAGGGGGTTAATTTGTGGGGGAAGCCCAAATAACAATAAAAAACACAAAATGCCGACAGTCATCATGGAAAATTCGTAATTGCAGCAAGTTGCTTTTGTCTAAATATATGGAAATATATTGAAGACATTGATACATTGAATAAAGTATAAAGATATATGTATTAACGCAAACAAATTCCAAATATAATACATATATTTGAAATTATCGTGGAAAAACTCATAAATAAAATATAGAATTTTATATTGACAACATGTGGATCTCAAGAAAATGTATGATTTTAGAAGGTATGATCACATATGATCACAAAAAATATGTATAAAATGTATCGGTAACTATTTCGAAATTAAATAAGAACATACAAAGCATTTTACCTAACTTTAGCAACTTGCTTGGCCATTAAAAACCTTCAAAATATCGCATCTATATGGAAATATATGGCTGGCCAACCTATAGATACAAATGTATCTATGTATCTATAGAGAGATTATGGGATCGGTGGTAGTCTGCATTTGGCCATAGCGTTAAATTCTTTTCTGCTGTGCATAAAAATGCGCAATCGTCGGACCGATGACTTATAAAAATAAGAATTGGCACACACACTGATACTGATTTTGCGTGTTGTGTTTTATTTTAAGAATGTCTCTCCGTCTGTCTCGTCTATTTGCATAAAATTTCCAATGCAGTTCGGTGGCCACGGTGGCATAAACAAAAAAAAAGAAAGAAAAGTGGGTGGACTTAGGGGGATTTGGTGGCTGGCAAAAAGCAAAAGGTGATCGTCATCATCATCATTGTGCGTGAAAACCAAGTGATTTGGAAAATCGGGAACGGTCGAGTGGAGGCCCTGCTTTAGAGGTTTTCTCTATGAGTTTATGTACATTTTAATTTTCCATTAAATGATTTATATTATATGGTATAGTATAGTTTATATACTACCAGATATTTCTATCTTATATCTTTAATTTTCCAAAGCAAATCGCACTACTATCACCTTAAACTCCCTGTACTTCCTATATCTTTCCTTCTCACACAAACAATAACAATTTAGCAAGACTATAAAAAGCACATGAACTGCCTAATTACCTGACACCTTGCCCACAAAGACAGGTAGACGAATATTTATATACATTAAATATTTCATCCGTCTGCGTTTGCGGTTAACACAATTTTCGTATATTGCACTGGGGGTCTGCATACATATGTGCGACAACTTAATTATAGAAGAACGAAATAAATTACAAAAATATGTCTGTCTGTATATGCATTTTGAAAATTTCGTTGTTGAAATTAATTTAATGCCATATTTTAAATATTGACACATTAACGAGCACAACGCTTGGCACAGTTGCTTGAACTCGGACATATTGCAATTGCAATATCGTTTCGCATTAATTATTGACACAATTCGCACTGAAATCGCACCGTCAAGAATAAACTACTCATATCGCTCTCACAATCGACTTTGTATACTATATATGAATATCGAATGAATACTATGAGTACTACTGGGCAGTGCCAAGTTTCCAAGTGAATGTT